CAGATGAACGATATGACAAAAATTTCAGGAACTTACGTTGGACGGATTCTATATTTTTTATATGAATTTCGTAAATTGGAAACCATATTAGTACTCCGTATTCAAGTTGAGATCTAACTAATGAGTAATACCGATTGCAAAGAGTAAAGATGTTGAGAAAATCATTACAGTTTCTGTAAATTAAACCATACATCCTGTAAGCTTTTGACACTATTTCTGTCATATGGTCATTAAACATTAGCCTATCGTCAAAGGTGATTCCAAGGTCTTTATACTTTTCTCCACGATTTAGAGTAACTGCATCGATATTATAATTGAAGATAATAGGTTCCTGTTTTTTAGTATACGAAACTACAAAACATTTCTTTTTCTTTAGTGATAAACGATTAGTGTAGCACCACTCAACTACAGTATTAATGTTGGTTTGAAGAATCCTACAATCATCAATAGTGTTAATTCCAAAAAACAATTTCAAGTCATCTGCAAATAACTTTTCAGAAGATATATGTTCAACAATGTCTTTAATAAACAGTAAGAACAAAAGTGGTCCCAAATTAGATCCCTGAGGAACTCCACATGTCGGCGAATACATTTCTGAATAGAAGTTACGATATCGTACTCTATCAATAAGATACGACTTGAATAGTTTAAGTAATGACTCAGAGAAACCAAATTGGCGCAGTTTGTCTAGGAGAATAAAGTAATCGATCTGGTCGAAGGCCTTAGAAAGGTCTATATATATCGCGTCCACTTGACTTCTACTATCGATTAACTGAGATACGTATTGGGAAAAACAAGCCAGATTCGTCACAGTCGACCTCTTCTCAACGAAACCATGTTGGTACGGTGTTATAAAAGATTTCACAGATGAATAAATTTGCTTATACATTACTGATTCAAATGTCTTCACAAAATTACATAATAAACTTATGGACCGTAGTTCTTTATCCCCAGACTTAAATATGGGAGAAATGCAGGATTTTTTCCAAAGTTCTGGTACTTGACAATCTTTGAGAATAAGACAAAGATATCTCCACAGTCCTTGAGTAGAAAGCTGGGAATGCCATCAGGACCGGATGTAAATGTGTTTTTACAGTTTTTTAAGGCCAAAAGAATATCTTTTTCAGACAGTGAAGTGATAGCAACTGAAAGCTGAGCTTCTGTTTCATTCGTAGTGCAAAAAGGAACTAAACAATCGGACTTTATGTAATTTTGATTTTTTTTCCGAAAATCTGGACGTCTCGGGTAAATAATAACTCAATACCGAGTCATAAACTACATGTGTAGGACTGTTATTTTATACAATTTGAAACCCATTTACTACGTACAATTCTCAAGTGACGTCATCACATTATCGGTGGGGATGATTAGACAAATTTTGGTTAATGTTTTATCATCTACATTTCTAATATAAATACAAAATTTCACAACAATCAGCCCAGTACTTTCGGAGATTATCTATCTAATAAAAATCCGGGGCGGCAGACAGACGGACAGACGGACAGACAGACAGACAGACAGACAGACAGACAAACGGAAACTGGAGGCCTATTTCTTCGTACTCTAGGGGTCACTAAAGGTTGAGAAAACGTAAAAGTATAGAGTCGGCCGACGGATTCGCCTACGGTCGGGAAGTAAAACCAAGTTAAAATGAAAATTTTGGTAAAATACTAATTAGTCCTGAACAACAAAAGGACTCGACCAGAATTGAAAATCTAAAGTCGAACCTTTAAAATACCTGTTTTATTCTTTGTGGATTTTTGGTAATGAATTTCGGAAAATACTTATTACATTAGAAGACTTATTACACAATTTTCATTTATTTCTTCCACATGTGTATTTATAACCTTTTTGTGTATCTATAGATATTCACCGTCACGTTAGATTATTTGAACAAACAATTGTACATAAATAGTCGTCATGCTCTTGTTTGCTTGTTGACGATTGTGGAATGTATTACAACTGCGACATATAAGAATCAATTCGGTAGATGTTTTTATGCAAAAAAATCTTTTTATGTATTATCGATCTGTTGGTTGTGGGTGAGTTCGTAAAAATATAATAACATCTTATTATTAGGGTGTTTGTGAATGGTGCAAATCCCCCACGAGGAAGCGTATTTTAAGTCTTCTCATATTTAACTATAAACAAGTTAAATGGTTTCCTGGAACATTTCTGAAATGTCAAGAGTTGACCTTTTTTCAGCACCCCGCGAAAATTAAAGTAGGCGTCATTCAAGCCTGAAATTAACTGAAACTTAACATGGCCATATCCATTAGTCGTTGAAAATAGATTTAGTCTATTGTAATGAATCCGATGGAAACAAGTTATTTGAGTGTTTGACAAACGAAGAGGAGCTGCGTATTTTCATTTGACTTTTATTTAACAAAGTTTATAGGATATTTAAGTCAATGTGACATTTGCGAAGCGAATGGGCTATTTTTTTAAATTACTTTACTAAATCGCTGCACGGAAATATTACAGCAAAGCAGAAACGTCAACCGAGCGCGACTCGCTAAAATTGTTTCGGGATTTTATTCAAGACCTAACATTTTCTTTTTCATAACAAAATCCATTTGAAATTAATCAATTTAGGTTAATTTCTAAGCCTCTGGTTTACTCCAAGTCACACAGTACAGACCGTATTCTGTGAAGTAGCTATAATACAATATTCGTAATCCCCCCATGACTGTAACTGTAATACCTTTGGGAGAATCCTCTGCGTTACCATGTTCACTAAGCGTACGAACCCTAATTCAAGTTATTATTGCATCTACAAAAACTTTTTATAAACGCTAGCGTGCCAGACAGATTTTAATCACGTGACGATATGTTTCCAAGCAATTATAAAGATTATTTTGAAAACGCACCTTGTATAAATTCTTTAGATGGGGACAGTAATGACACTAATTAAATTAAACGTCGATATGTTACGTATAATCTTTTAATTAAAGTGATTATGTTTAGTAATCCATTACAAGCGTCGAGCTTATGCGGTTGTTTTAATATAGATTTGATCCACGCCGAAAGCTCATATTACTCTGTTTGAAGATACATTATCAAATTAGATCTTAGCTTTTTTACTAATAGGTACTTAAAACAAATCAAAATGTAGCTTTGACTTCCTACTTATACATATTAGTTACGCAAACATTGACAGTAATTACAATTTAAATATTTTTTATTTTTACGCATTTTTTAATAAATAATACCAAAAACCAAATTCGATCGTCCTCAAATGTCTCGAAAGCCGTAAATGAAATGCAATGTAAGCACGTTTATATCATTTTCGTGCTATTGATTAAAACAAGTATATCTGGAGAGCAACACACTAACCCATTGTTGAAAGTTTTTTATTATTCGTTTGGAATTGATTAGCGTGACAGATAATGCATAATTGAAAATATTCATAACAGAATTTCATGTTAATACGCTCGGAATCGTAATAATAGGTAACATTTGTACAAGTTTTTGATTTTTATAGCTGTCTGGCTAATGATGGCGTTTTTCAATCACCGACTGTTTTTATTATCACTTTGAAACGAAACCATATTTTCGTTAGATGTTTTAACAAACTTTTCCATTTTTTTTGATCCCCGTCTCAAATGTCTATATACAGACATCATTACATGCTTTTTTAATGACCAGTTTGCAATGTGTCAAAATATGAAATGTGCCTAATGGAGTTATTTTGACGGTGTCTAACTTACCTACCACTTGGAAAATAAAAACACACTCTAAGTTAGGGAAAATAGTAATCTATTTATTTAAATATTTTAAGAGCAAAACTTATCTTTAAAATCGGGCTCTGTTAAATCACTTCTATCGTTGATTTACCAGCTGATCAACAGTTCGCACTTACTTCACTCTTATTTAAGCTTTGTGTTTAATTAATCACTAGAATGCCAACAAAAGTAATACAAGTTTTCTTTCTTGATGTTTTACATTGATCCATTTAATTCAAGCAAAAAATCATCATCTGCGTGTAAATATGATATTATCGTTTGTTGTATTTAAAAAGTTACGATAGAACTAGCGTAATTTCTAAAAGCGTTTTTTTGTATTCCCTTTTTACCCTTTTTTATTTTCTGTTCCTGGTCGTTTAGAAATTTTTGTATTTAATGCGTTTTGGGATCGCTTTTATAATAGATGAGGGTGTGGATATGAATGGATCTTCGCAGGAGATGTATAAAGTATTAACCGAGTTCGTAGGGGTTAATCGTTGTATTTTTGTGTTTGGTGCCAGGAGCAACGTCAGTTTGAACTTTGTATGCATTCTGTAAATTCAATACTAGTATTGTCTATATCCGAGTGGAATATTTAAATATTCATGCGGCTATAGAAGCAGAGTAATTTTAATCTATTGTTAAGTTAAACAAACGCTGGAGCTCATTGTGAAATCGTATTCATTATAATAGCTTTTAATTTACTTGTAAGAACTGTATTATCTCCTATGTTTGCGAATTCTTTACATAGCATTTGCATGTATCTATACAATTAAGAATCGTAAACCTCCACATTTACACAGAGTTTTAGTCTTTCGTCGTAGGTACTCAAGGGACTTCCAGTCCTTCTTTACAACTCGTTGACGAGATTTGTATGTTTTATCTCACATTTTAAAACAGATTCCAAAATCGAAAAAAAAAACAGCTAAAATATTGTTAAATATAACTAAATTCAAAATTGTCATTAAAAGAAAAAAGCGAAAAGTTGAAATTCTTTTAGCTAGATAAAATCATCATTTTTTAGAACAAAAAACGCTAAATAGAAATTCGTCTAGTCATCCCTCCAAAACTTCACTTTTTACTCTGCTTCGCAACTGCTCCAAATGGAAGGGTGGTACTTACTTTTACGTCGAACTTTTAATTGGGTTAACAGCTTGCATTTTAAATCTTCGGAAGTTTGTGGTTTTTAAAATTCACCTGCCGATTCACATTGATTAAGCGATTTTAAAGCATACCCATGGGGGTTTCCCGAATTAAAATTTACGATTTTTGTAGAACACACCGAGCGAAACCTTCACAAACTCGGAAATGAATAACGAAATTGTACCACCGCCAGCACGAGACGATATGTCTACGATTTCTCAACGAATTTGGAATTTGTCAAGGCTTTCTTTTGATGGCAGCGATAGAACGAATTTTCTCTATCGACAAGATTTGCACCGACATTTCGTCATAGACTCAGGTAGGATGAATACAAAAATGCATGTTTCCAACTACTTGAATAGATTTAGTGTATACTGAACTGAACCCCAGGCTTTTCAACCGAATATTGCAGTATTTAATGCGTTGTTGAATGGAGAGGTGTAAGTTAACTTCACAGCGTATTCATTAAACGGATTTCCGTTAATTACTAAAGTGTAATCAAATCGTGTAAGCACACACTTTACATGAATAAAGCTTTAAATCAATTGGTATATAAATCCATGGCAACAGATATTTAAATATCCTTATGCTAGTGGAGCTTTACAACTTGTCTTCCTCTAAGAACTGACTCGATTCATTTCATTTCGTTAATTTACTCCATTAAGCGCGGCGTTTCTACTATTCCGGTCTTTTGTGGCGAGTTTTAACTTGTTTTTTTTTCAGATGACACGAATCCCATTATTCGGAATTCCGTTGGAGTCACAATAGGAATGAAACCAAATGTGGATTGTTCAACTTGCATTAATCACAATACGATTTATCCCAGTCCTGAAAATAATAATAAAATTACTTAATTTATAGGGGCGAATAGTTAATAAAAGTGCAATATTCAAGTGTTACCACTGGTTTTCATTTAGCTTACCGTCTTTTGTTTAATTTACAAAAATAATCTCTATTATTAAATCAACTACGAAGAAGAAAGAGATGGAGCGATAAGTTTTTAGTAAAACTTGTAAGTATATAGCCAGTTCAGTTAGACTACTGTATACCATGTATTCACTTAACAGCTGAACATGTTAGTTTACCATGAAATGTGATTTCTAGGTTTACAATTTTTTTTTTGTAAACTTAGGTCTGATCCAAATGTAGATACATATTTATAAAATTCTTTATGGATTATTTATGGAGTTTTGATGTTTTATTATTCTGTTACAAGTTTTTTTTTTTGTTGTAATTGTCATATTGTATAGTAAGTTAATATTAAAATTGAAGTAATAATAATTGTAAAGTATTTACTTGTAAAGCTAGAATATTTTGTCAATAGAGAGTTACCTACCCATATTTAAGGATATTAGATCATTTTGGAAAATTAGCACCAGATTTCCATATTTTGTCAAACAGGTATTTGAAACTTATAATTATGCATGCCCGACTGTATTTAACACAATAAACAGATATTTGAACGAACATTGTCTTTTAATTGTTTAAAATAATCTTCACTGACCGGCAAAAAAAAACAGCCACCCTGAAATGTTTCGCAAAACCACTTTAAATATTACTCCTATATTTTAACTAGTGATTGTATTTATTTCTCTTTTTCAGTTAATCGCTATTTAAATTAATAATTTTTAAAGCGATTTTGTGAAACATTTCAGAGTGGCCGTTTTTTGCCGGATATATGAATTATGATAAACGTAAGATTATTTATATACCTATTTAGTTCGCAAACGTTATTTTCATCATTTTAAAATAATGAAAGATCCATAGTATTCAGAATAATTGTGTTTACGTAATAATTAATCCAAGCATAATTTAACTTCAGGTTACCACAAATGTTCGTAAAATCTAGCAAGAAAAATACCATTCCGGTTTTTTTTTCAATACCATTCATGTGAACTGCCGTTAATATTTAATTTCGTGGTTTAGAGATAATGTATGTGACATTTATTATTTAATTTATAATACTACCTTTATTTTACCTGTACATTTTTATTCGATAATATTTCCAACGTAATTATTTATTAACCTGGAACGTCTTTATAATAATATTCATTTAATACATTTAAATATTTCAGTAAAAATTAACAGAATTGGAACTGGTGAACCAACCATAGATACATTAATATGACTGGATCTTACATGTGTGGCATTTACTGAATAGCTGAAACAGAAATATGTTTCTGTCCTTCTTATCTTCTGGCTCAGATATTTTTTGTTGCCATCATGGCGGTCATCTATAGTTGACATTAGGTCATTAGGATGTATTTTTTTTGTTGATTTCAACATTAATACAAAGCGGACTTTAAAGAAATTACTATTCTCGTATTATCCTTGTCTAGCACTTAGATTCCAATTTCGGGTCCATGTTCTTTACAATCTCTAATACATATATATTGTCACTTCCTACTGCCATCTGTGAGTGAAGAAGAAACATTATCTGTTAACGATTTCCTCATAGCATAATGGTGTCTGTACTAACTGTATTTATACTTTTTAGAGTAGGCGTAAAATGTAATAGATCGGCGATAGTTGCTAATCTTTGTGTCAACTTTGTCCTTAGTCAATCTAAATTAAAATTTCTGTATACTAACTTTGTAACCATGACAATTCGACCAATTAAAAAAACAACACCAATACAATAAAGTATATCACTTTATTAATAAAATATATTTTAATATAATTTCTATCAAATACTGTACACTCTTCTACCTATAAAATCTTAATTGCATTTTAAGCGTAATAAACAGTACTTTTTCTCTATTGCAAATTTCACCTTGTATCCTCTTCTACAACTCCCAATGCTTCTAATTCTCTTAAGACGGTTGTCAAATATCCCGGATCCGGATAACTATGGGCACTATTACTCGGCCCGATTTCCGTCTTGTGGGGAATATTCCAAGCTACAACGTCCTCACAACCGGTAGTGTTGGATCTACTTATAGTAAATATCAACTTCCGGTGCCATGCGATGTTTAATAATCGTAGAGTTTTCTGACCTTTGGGACTATCAGGCAAATAAGCCACTCGCGGAAAACCTACAGCGTAGTACTCCTTTCCTGGATTGGGATGATCAGGGCCTTGAATGCCCGACTGAATGCTGAAACACTCTCTTACTACTAATTTTCGAAATAAAAATAACTCACTTGTAGACAATTTGTATGGTTCGGTAGTTCTGATGTCCGGGCAACCTTTTATCGATGATTCCCCATTCCATGATTCCTGGCGGCTGATTACCGTGCTTTTCGCCATATACACACCCACAGATAGAACAGTCTATGTGTAAGTGATCTCCATTCTCTTGTTGCTCGGTCAGCGAGTAATTTAGACAGTCTAAGTGCAACACGTGGTTGCAAGGTAAAGCGACCACTACGAGCGTGGGTCGCAAAGGCTGTCTACATGTCGGACACGGTTGACGGGGGGCCCATTCACAAGGTTGTGATACCCGTACGAATTTGGAGATTATTGCACTAGCCGGATCGACACCTACTAACGGAGGAATTATCACCTCTAACAACTACAAGTAAGAATCAGGACAATTACCAACAATGGAAAGCAAATCGTGTTCGACGTTGTCATCCTCGCTACTGGTACCACAATTTAGTAGATCAGTTGTAGAGACGGTGTTCTGACTTTCACGGCTTTCTTGACTCAAGTACGTCGAAACTGTGTCCAAACTTGGCCGTCTACCGGATTTAGTGCTACTGCTATCGGCATCCAACAGAGATTCTTTGTGGGTGCGGTTCTCAGAGTTGGAAGTTATGTTATTGTTGCTTGATTTATTACCTAACAACATAAACTACAGCCATCTGCACATCTACGTAACACGATGACTTACTAAAAATATTTAAATTGTTTAATATCGCTCTAGCTAGATTAGTAGTACTGGAATCGTTTCCGTTCTTTGGTTTACTATGCGTTCTCTTTTTATTGGCACTTCGTTTATTCTCCACGACGTTTAAAGCGGCACTGCTACCAATGGTCTTCCCGTGGCTTTGCTGCGCGGAGTTTTTGGCACTTTTGGTATTCTCAGATCGACGTCCTAAAAATCCACCATCAGTCACCTCTCTCCAGACCTTATTACAAACCATCTTAACCTGTAACGGACGTCAACTCCTCTAGCTTGACTTTAACTAATGGATAGGGAGCTTGTTTGACTCGTCTAACGCTGCGAACATGCCCGTTCGTCAGCCACCTCTGCGTCAAATTGCTAAAATTTATCAAATACGGAAAACCGAGATGAGTTTTGCTCATGTCGATATTCTGGTCTCCGTTGGCCCAGGCTTCCTCAATAAGACATTGTATGTCCATATCAAAAGGATGCCAGTCGCTGTCGTTCTCGAGATCCACGCATTCCCATTTGGCGCCTTTACCAGCTGGGGACGAGGGAGGATAGCACTTGCGTCGAACTCTAACGACCACATCTGTTTCTTCTTGTACTTGCGTAAGGGTTCGTAAATTGACGTAAAAGTTAAAGAGCGTAGGATCGGCGTCCGATAAAAGTACTCGAGTCAGCTGTTTCGCGTTTGCACGTTCTAGGTGTTGGGTGACTGCAGGGCTGTAGGGTTTCCAATAACCTGTTCGGATTTCGTATTCCCATACAACTACGGCGTGTCCGGACATTCTACGAAGTTAGAAGGTGAGGGCCGGCATAGTCATAAGGGATGTCCTCTTAAAAAAAAAAAAAACACAATGTATTTCAGACGAGTAAGTCTTTCGTTATAGAGGAAATGTTCTTTCGTGCAGGTCATCAGTGCCAGATTTATTTAGTTATTAACCCAGAATAGAATAAATCACTGGAATTGTACAATATTTGTAGAACAGGGTCAACAAGCGGAACGGAAAATCTCATCGTTTCCACGATTATATATTTGTACATATCTGCGATAAAATCCTCAAAAACCCACGTTAAATAAATAATATAATACTAGAAAACAGAAGGTGAAGGAATATGATTGCAAAGTATTTTTAAAACGTGTATCCCATCCAATTTATACTTGGATAACTTTACAGTGTTTGATGTAGGCAACCAACACTACGCACATTTAACACGGTTGACGTCTATTAAACGTAGATTTTTTAATTTAATACACGTGGAAATAACAATCAAATTACATGACACGGAAGCAACGTTTATTTTTAAATAAACGCACTTTTAAAATGTATGCAATATTTCCACGACGGAGTTAACCATTTACGGATTTGTAAAACAAAAACAAACCATTTTCTCGAGAATTGATGGACAAATTGTCGATTAAAACCACACCTAAAAAATATATACGGCAAGCAATTCTTCAAATTTTGACCCACATTAAGAATAATGACAGTTAATAAACCTTTAAACTCACCATTCAATTAATTAACATAGTGACCCCAACGTTTTCAGCTGCTTTTTTCTCCGCGGTACGTTAAAACTGCACACAAACATTGAAAATTATTAAATAAATAGTCGGACGTTGATAATATGCCACTTTACATTCATAATAACCGCTTAATAAGTTCAATTATGTTTTGTAAACATAAAAATCTGTACTTATGACAAGTTAACAAACCACTTCCACCACTGTCTGTTACGTCAATCGTCAACACAACAATGATGCCATCTGTTTCAAATGTCAACGGTACAGTAACGCCAACTTCAGAAAACTATATTTGGGGTTGTCATATTTTTCACATGCGATACTCGAACATCTGATTCTTATTATCTTCATGTTTATGTCGACCATTGAATTAATATTTGATCAGGGACAAAGAGGGTTGGGAGATCAAAAATTGCGACTGCCCCCATCACGAAAAAATAAAAAAGCGTCCATCGGGACATTTTAAAAATGTAAAATACTGTTAAAAATATTTTACTAAAAAAATTAAAAGCTTGAAAAAGTAGTTTCCTTTAGGCTAAAGGGGTTCCAGACATGTTAATACTTTGGAAGTATATACAAATCTACCACATAAAATGCATATTTTACTTTAAAAGCCATCAATAGGTTAAAAAAAAGTTTACATGAATTCTGCTCTAGACTATACAAACTGGGAGATACGGTTCAAGTGTAAACATAGTAAAAAAAACATTTTTAGAACTTTTTCAATATTACGTCTTGCACTTTTGATTTGTATCATGAGTTTTTTTTAATTCAGCATTAGTTAGAATCATGTTAATACCTGTTCATTCTGTGCTACAATGTTAAAAATCTGAATGTGCAACTGTGTGTATAAACAAAGTAATCTATTTGTTACAATTTATATGGCCGGTAGGACCTTTACTAGGGCCACTATTGCCGATTTGGTTAAAGTGCTGACAAGAGAAGTGGTATTTGTCGCCCACTTTATCACAGTTTTTTGTATTACATGTAAATGAAATCGTACCTACACAGATATTCACTTCTAACAAACATTCACTAAATAGATATAATTATAATATAACACAAAAATTACAATAAGATTACACTTAATTTTGAGGTGGCTGTATTTCCATCGTTCTGCATACCCATCCTGCAATGTCCACGTCCTCTGCCTCAGCTTTCTTAATCCAATCGTGATTCTAGAAAAATAATATGTGTATTAATATTACAGAGTGAGTCACTACGCACGCGGTCCTCTATATCTCATAAGTTATTAGACATGGAAAAGTCAGCGACTACATTTCTACGGTTCTTTGAATAGGACACATTAAAATGATTTTCGACTATACAGTGTTTTTTGTTTTCGAGGTATAGTACACAACTTGGTTTTTCAAATGGAATGTTTTTACATAGCCCTTTCTAGGTTTTAGAACCACGGTTTATTTTTGAAGTTCCGATGCAATTTGGCATGTTTTTTCACTTTTTTAAATTTTCCTAGTAATCGCAATATTGTAAGTAATTTTTAAAACCTGTTTTGCAATATTTTATAAACAAATGAACAGACACTTTAGATACTGAATCTTATTCTTTTTTTCTTTTTCTTTCAAAATGTCGATGTGTCCCTTTAAACAGTAAAAATTCTCATTAACTATCAACATCAAACACAAAAAATACTTAACAAAAAGAAAGGGAACCAAAAAAACAGAATAAGGTGTAGTTATAAAATTCAGGATGTTCTATTTGAAAAAATGAAATGCCGGGAATCTCTAAAATGAACTATGATTATAAAACCTAAGAAAAGGTCAATCAGTATGTGTAAAAAAATAAAAATATGGAGTATTGTAATTAAAAAAAAACTAAGTTGTGTAATGAGTAAATTAATATTCAATGTTTGGGTTTGGCGCTTGCGCATGCATTGTGAGAATTTTCTACCCCCTTTTTTATGCACCCTGTCCCATTTTAGAAGCTTGAAATTATTTGGGAATGATGAAAAGTCATTCAAATATCCTCGAAAATTTGCAGAAACTGTTATAGAAATGAATGCCTTTTAGTAACCAATTAACCAACAAAAACGTTTTTTGTCACAAAATTTTACTGCTAGCGAAACCCATCTGTCGCGTGTGAAACGTAACTTGTTTGCGAATGCAACGTTGCAATTCAAATTTCGACTTACCATTAATGTTTTCAAATCTGCTCTTTCGTCAGGATTTTTTCTTAAGCATCTATCCACGAAATCCTTAAATTCATTTGAAAACAAACCAGTTGGCAGTTTTGGAGGTGGTTCGTTCACTATATAATCCAATAATTCAAATATAGCCATAGTTTTGGGTCCTCTTGTATGGTCTGGAGAATCACTGTCATTCTTGTTTTCAAAAATTGCTTTCAAAGTTTCGGCATCAGGAGGTGGAATTGGGTACATACCAATAGCCATTTCAACCAATGACAAACCAAGAGACCAAATGTCACTTTGTACTGAATAGTGTGTGCCTTGGAGTCTTTCAGGCTAAACAGAAAAAAAGAAACTGTAAGTCGTTTTTTTTTCCTATGATGAGTCACAACTTACAGACATGTAACTCCTAGTACCAACGAATGAATTAGCCATGGAATCAATCAACTGCCCCGAAACCCCAAAGTCACAAATTTTGATTTCTCCACTACTGTTAATTAGAATATTACTTGGTTTAACATCTCTGTGCATAATCGCATGTTTATCCCTTAAATAACTCAACCCTTTCAGCACTGCTACGGTAATTTTACCCAAAATATTCTCCGGAATTCGGCCAGCTTTCTTCAGTATCAAATCCAAAGATCCTGCATCCATATACTCCATGCAAATGCTTATCTCTCCATCACTGTAAAAAGCGCCATAAAACCCCACAATATGTGCGAAGTTGCACTCATGTAAGACCTTCAGTTCTCTTATGATCTGTTTTTTAATAGCCGGCTTAACTTCTAAATGAATCAACTTCCGAGCAATTATCAAACCGCTGGATTTATGCCTGACTTTTGTGACCACACCCCCATTGCCGGAACCTAATTCTCCCAGTTTCTCAAAATCATCATCGCCTAAATCACCACCAATTTGTTTCTTTTGGCACAGAAATACCTCAATGCGTTTCCGCTGAGTAGCATCCATGTCGAGTTCTTCTATGCGTGCCGTAATAGTATCAATGCTAGAACCACCAACCAAATTGTTGCTTCTGCAACAAATAAAAAACGATCATCGGAAAAACTGTCGTCTCAAAAAAAACCGGTTTACATATGTAAAGTTAACCCAGCTCGCTTCGCTCGTTACATTAGACATTTTTTTATTTCAAAATGTATGTTACGCTGTTGCTCGCTGAATGGACGGTTTCTTCAGTTCTTGGACATTATATACGGAGCAAAAATTTATTTTTCACATCTTAATATCATCCAATTTTAATATTTCATCAAACATGATTGAAGTGAGCTACAGCTTTCACGACCCGCTACAAAACACATGCAAATGACGTTTGTTGGGCGTAAGATAGATGTACATTTTTATATCATGTCATCTTACAAAAAAAAGTTATTTTTTCATTACAATACTTAAACACCACTTCCATTAGTTCAATATGATATACGTATTACTTCAATTCTTGCAAAAGTTTACTTATTAACGAAAATATCAAACAAAGTTATGTTTGGCCTAACAAAGGCAGCTATTTTTTTGGCAATTTACAGCCGCCACTGTAGAATATTTCTCTCATATGTTTATATTCTAATAAATAAACCATCTAGATAACTTACTGAGCCGTTGATTCTTGAAATGGAGCACTTGTAGGAGTAACTGTTGGAGTCTGATCGAGTGAACCTGGTGGTAGTGTAAGGTTTAACTTATTTTTGGACATTTTTTGCATTTAAAACAGGAAATTGAAAATAAAATGAGAAAAGGGAGAGTTTTTCGCGACACTTTGATCACTTTTAATTAATTAAGCCGGAGTAACTACTATCATTAGGGTGGAACGTTGACACCCAGAAGACAAACGATACTTCAAAATATCGACATTATGATTACATGTATCCCACTAAACGTCGAACATTCAACAATAGTTTTAGGTTAACTTATAAAAAAACTATTCGACTTCAAACATTATTAACTAGTGGTTGTATTTTGACAGTTATTGTTATATATTTTTTATTTTTTAGATGAAACAAAAAACACTAGTACAGAAAACATCTGACATCAGTCAGTAAAAAGGTTAGTACGTATTGGTGACGTTTGTGGCGCCACTGCTAATCTTATTTTGTTTTTATTTGGAGAAATAAATATGCTAATTAATACAACACATCGCACATTGTGCAAAAATGGAAAATAAAACAAAGGTTTTAGTGAACTTACTATGAAATTCTTGAAATATTTATGTAGATGTGCTCCCTGTATAGCATAACTACAGTAATCTGTATACTGTGGGCAAATATAAATTTATATTAAAAGGTATCTGTATTATCCCTTACATTTTCTGAAACGTTCTCGCATTTTACTAATTCTATAATTTAATGTTTTTTAACTTCAGCACACTTCCTAAAAACAAGTGAACATAGTTTTGGTTGCTTTAGATTCATTTTCTTATCATTCTCAATCTTTTATCACACCTTATATGTACTTATTTGATACAAAATGATTAATTAAAAACTGGCAAAAGTGCAAATATTTCGTAAAAGTCCAAGTTATTGAATTTAGTTTTTATTGCTAAGTACTTAATACTCACCTACAACGAATAACAGCGACAAAGATTTGATTATTTTACACATCATGAACTATATTATTATTTTTAATATTTTATTACCGTTACGTACTTGCATTTACATTTTTGATCAATATTTTTTTTTTGTTTTTTTAAATTAAATCTCGTTCGTAAAAAACATCGTTTCCACGACAACTGTTACGTACGTGATACATTTGGCGAGAAATTGGATTATCCTCATTGTTTTGTCATTTTATTGTCGTTTTACAGCTTTAATAGGCATTTACCTAAATTTTTTATTGATTCCTGTTAGACTTTTCCCCTTTATTCGCTCACAGATTTGGATGATCAGAATACCTTTGTTTCCTTCTTCGATTTACCATTTTTGTATTTTGCATTGCTGGTGGAAATACAAACCTCACTGGTATTTTAAATTTCTTGAGGTCAAAGAAACACGTGCTTCATCAATGCGATGTGAAATGTGTTCCTAAAAACAGAAGCAACTGAAAGCGATGAAGACGTGAACAATGATGATATTGAAAGTTGGTTGAAAGTGCGGTGAGGGCTTTAACTTAAAACAATTATTGGGAATCTATTAGAATATTAGATAGAGATATTTTAAATTTGAAAATACCAACTTTACTCTCATACACTAAAACCTTTTGGTCAATTTTGTTAAATTTTACTGTTTAATTCATGTTTCTTCACGTCAAAAAGGTAGCAGAGATTTAAGCAATCTATTATACTACTTTTTGTAATGTGATGTTTTCGCACATCAGTGATAAGTGTTAAATCCACGTATGGTTAAATCCACATCTGCTGAACTTTGGTTTTTGAAAACTGCAGATTGCATTAATATTTTATAAAGGCTGGTCTTGTAGTATTTTTACTAAAAAATTAGCAATACATCTTATATATGGGTACCTAAAACTCCTTTAATACAATTGCACCACGTGGATTGAAGTTTACACACTGCTGCAACAAACTTATCAATGGGCCTTTATCAATTTTCAAGATTCTGTATTTTTTCAATGTTTAAACGTAATCAAGGCATGAACGTTAGGTTTACGAGTCTGTCAAATACTAAATGCAAGTTGATCAAGCAATAAAAAACAATTACCGAATTATTTAACCACCCGCAAAGACAATCGCTTATGTGAATTGTCTATGTAAATAAGAATTTTCCGTAAACTGACTATAAACGGTTTTAAATGAAACGTGCGTACGTTTTTCTGTTCTACCAAAAGTACTATATTTATTAAATAAACTCATCAACATTGTTGTTAGTTTAAAAATTGATTCAGTGATTCTCGTTGGGATGCATAATTACATTAATCAGAAATATTCTGCTTATTAATTATTCGTCAGTGTTATATGTACAAAACAAATCTTGTTCTAAAGGGAAAGTATGCAACCAACTATACACAACTGATCACCAACGTGCCTACTCATAATAAATTCGAGCACTTTTTCCACGTAAATTACACAATAACAATCTCGTTTATACTGTCTTCATATAACCTGTCCAAAAAATAAGTTACTGACATATTTCTTTCTTAGGAAACTCATGTTTTTCTAAAACAGTGACCATGAATACTAAAAAACCAAATTACACTTCATTTTTACTTGACAGTCAGAATTTCCAAGAAAGGTTTGTAGTCTTAGTTAATTTTCAGACAGATTCTGCATGAGCAGTTAACAAATGAGACTGCTTTCTACAGACAACATCATTACATTACTATTTATAATTTTATTGTAGTGTGCTCTCCCTTCTCTTGGCCATTTGTTCAAGATTTTAAATTCTTGCATCTTAAACGCATTCGTTCAGTAGCATTCAATACATTACAAATCGCAGACTTCCTAGAAATCCTAGATGGACCAATTCACCTGAAAATCATCAAATAGAAACAAATAACAACATAATAATAAATACCTTCACATATAACAGCTTGCATTATACTGGAGATTACATGTAATTTTTCCTCGCTCAAATAGTTTTCGCCCATTTCGGTTTTCACTTTTCTGATGTGAACTGGTAAGAGACTTTTGCAACCTTTACCTTAAAACCATTCATCAGTTGTGTTGTGAGGAATCTTTTATTTTCAAACAACAAACCTTTGACCCCAATGCAGACGTTTAGGCAACGTGTGCGCAGTACTAATTATATTATAAATGAGAATGACACAAATTGCTGTTGGATTTGATGAAATAACACTTCTAATATGCAAAACACAAAATCGCGCCTTTTCAAGACACATAAACATACATGATTCCTGCATTTGACATTTGACGACTGCGCCCCCTTCACCGCTGCAGCTTGACAGACAGTGCTACCAAAACGAAGATTGGGGAAGGAAAAAATCACTTCCGACAATTTTGTTATTAAATTCAAAAGTTGATTAATTCTGTATATATTTATTTGTATTTTCATATATGGATACTGTCTTTAATTGCAGTAAATATATATTTTCCTGACCCCTTGTTAGGCACCAAATAGACTAAACATTCCTACATCACAAGCCAACCAACTTTGGATCATTTATAACAATTGTTATATGATTAATTGATTAACTGTATCCAAAATAAATACTAAATAGTGAAGAAAAATATCGTTGTATTCAAAAACTAAGAAACAAAGGACTTAGAAGAAATAGAAACTGATACACGACAAATTAAAGTTTGTAGAGTGTAACATACACATCTTTAAAGATACTTGAACTTCTAGTTTAACAGCAATGTCTACACGTGAGTCTTGAACAAGTTGTCTCTTTGTTACAGTATGAAATGAACATCATCCAAAAATTACCAACAGAATTTCTCTTGTTCGTTTCGACATCCCAAAGTTATTTTTGGCTTAATTTTTGAAAATTCAACAGTTTTTTCGGAATTGTAAAAATGATTTTTTTTTTTTAATATTTGAAAAATCTTTAAGGTACTCGCTTGGGACACTCAACAACGGTTTTGCGAAAATTACTTAAATAATTTTTTTGTAGAATTTGACCTCCAGAAATTATTTTCGGCTTCATTTTCCCGAAACTTCTTGCCATTTCTGCAGAATCACCAATATAAAATAAGGTGATTTTTAAGATAAGAAAAAAATGTTTGTGTATTTTTAAGTAACTCTTCCAAGTTTTTCTTTTCCTTTTTCAGTACCTCCATCAACCTAAAGAATTTTTTTTTGTAGATTTCGAAATTTTCTAACAACAAAATTCCATGTATTTTGATTCGATTCGTTTAAATCTGTCTCCCGGAATTTTGTGTGGACTATAGTATGCTGTGCGTAAAATTATTGTTTTAATATCTACGAAATTTCGTCTAACATCTTGGGTAAAAATAATGATCTGTCTGCAGAGAATCTAAAAGTAAGATAAAACCACCAAAGAACATTGTACATACATCACTTATTTACTTTTTAAATCTACGGCAAGTCACATTCGTTGTAAACGGGATTAGGTATAGATTTAGGAATTTGACCGTGAGTTTATTCATTTTATTAAAATTATCATAAGTAAGTTGTCTACGCCGGAAAAATCAAATTATTAATACATAAATTTGTGAAGAGTCTATATTGTATATTAACGTAGGTGTCGTAGTTTTAAATCGTGCGCTCCGCAGATCAATAGAAGCACACTCGGCGCCAAATTTGAACTGTCGAAATATTTAATTTCGCACCGCACCCTTTGATGTTGCGGTAATCCTGCAAGGAGCTAATAAGAAAACAGTGTTTAATTAGTACTCGGTGCACATTCCTTGTACTCTTTGTCGGCTCGAAAGTAAGGATCTCGAAATAAAACTATGCCACCGCAGTATGCAGCTCTTCTGCTGTCCATTTATATCGTAAACGCCAGTGACATTTCAGAGGAATATTTTACAGGAAGATATGTCTTTTTGACTCGTTTTGGCTGAAAATCGTCTGATAAGCTCGGATTTATTCAGGTATTTCTGATGTGTTGACAAGGAATGTAACGAAATGCCTTCGCGCGGGGCTTTTATCACCTTTTTAATAGCATTTTATTCCTGATGGACAATATTTTAGCACATCCAAACCGATACAAACAAGAAATTGGTGGTTAACAAATCGCACAACCGCCTCATTAATCTCATCGAAAATATTCACGATATTGCATCGTTTTCTTTATTTTTTTCATTGTCATAGTCGGAACAGTGCGACCTAAGGATTATCCAGCATAAAAAAATATGTTCAAAGGCGAATTAATTATGAATTCCAGGCCTCTGGCTGACGTTCAAAGTGCACAACTTTTAATTAAAACAAACTTAGTACTCGTACATGCAGATCAAAGTGCTTTTAGATACTGTACCTAACATTTATGAAAAATGAAAGAGACAACCAAATTCGTTTATCTTCAGATATTCCTTTATTTGATGTCTTTATCATCTGCAACTGCTACGTCATTCCAAAGATTTCTTAAAGGGACGCTTTGTAATTACACATTACAATCATTTCCCATTCTCATCCGCAGTCTGCAGAAACCCATCTCTTGCATACATTTATTATTAAATTTACGCGTATTTGATTTCTATTAACACGAAATTAAATATCTTTATTACACCTACGCGTTCAAATCAGCATTTCGCCCAAAGATGAATAACCTGTTTATGGCGTTTATTTTTGCGTGCTCAAATTTTCCTAAACACTTAAAACAATGATACCCATCTGAATGCCTCCAGTACAGCCTCTCAAACATGAACACGAAATAAACCTGCCAAAAGCAGAAACAAAAATTCGAGTTAAGGCTCAAACGTTCCTTTGTAAAATACCCACCTAATATAATCCGCACCAATAGATTCTAGATTAATTTGTTTAAAGGGAGAGTCGATATGTTTGCCCCTCACGGATGAGAAATTTTGTTGTTTGTGGGTTTGTATTGCTATGCAACATTACTGTTTGTTGTAACGAACGATAACTTTTTGTGTGTATATTGTTACAAAAACACGATAAATCATGTAGTACTCATTTATCATCCTGTGTCAAATTACGATTACCGTGTTAATATAAAAATGAAAATATATTTCCAGTGATTTTTTTTCTTTTATTTTCGTGTGGAATTTGTTAAAACAATGCACAGATTTGGTGACGTTCATTTTATTTTCTATTAGTACTACGTCAGTTATGTTAAGTAGATTAAAGCATATCAGAAACAAGAAAACTGGAACGATATTTTGAGACACGATTAATAGGTAATTTTGAGCTTTTCGTTCTTAACCCCAACGAAATTTTGATAGATTGACTGTAATTTGGGTCTAAATGTGGACGAATACATATTGCAGGGGTCTGAAGAACGTGTCCAAATGTGACAACGACATGACGAACAAGAGTGGCACTTGAGTGATTGTTTCATTACGTTTCGAGGAAGAAACCAGCTTGCAGAAATTGTCGACACTCAATAAAGATGACAACAACATCACAACTAAATGAGAGAGTGCATGGAAGAAAAAAAAAATCAATAATTTAAGACGATCATAAACGCGTGGCGAAAAATTCTAACCGTATCAATTTTCTATCCGGCCCGTTTACCCAAGGGTAAAGGCATCTGATATATTACCCCTATGTCGTAGGGACACTTCAAAATTGCTGCTACTTGTCCTTTATCCCCGATCCCTTGCTTATTTTGCAGGATTAAACCCTAATTAAATATTAAATAGATTTCTAAATTGTTCCTGCCCTTGTAAATGACAAATAAGCTTCGCCCTGCACGTCACCAAATCTGGTTAAACGAGCTGAAAATTTGATTTACGAACAATTAGAGAGACACGGTTAGTTTGAGAGACGTATTCGGTCTTAACGCGAAAAGAATAATGTTCGATGTGTAGAGACGTGCACAATTGAAAATTAAGCATGTGCCGCGTAAATAACGTGGGTGTAAGTTTGAGTGAAATTCTTATTAGGGTGTAAGTAATTTTGATGGGTGCGGGGTCGGAAAAAATGTAAATTGTTTGAAGTTGGGCGTAAAAACGTCTTAATTTATGTATTAAGAGAGGCGAAGAAGTTTTTAAAAGGCGCAACTGTTTAGTACAACCAAATTAATGTTTGTGCCGCCCTTGTGGTTAATTTTTGGAATTAATTAGAAAAATAAATGGCCCCGAAACGAGATTTTAATGACAAAATATTAAAATTGTCGCAGATGGGAAAGTATAAATTGATAATTCCCATTATATATACGGCCCTTGTTAAGCAAAGCGCTTTAATTACGTCTGGCTAGGGTAGGAAGATGGATTAGAAAATCTACGTCGTACGTCAAAAGAAACAGCCTTTATTTAAGACTAAGACAAAACGAGTCGGAAACGTTCGAGTGGAAAAACGCAGTTTAAAAAAATCCTGAATAAATAAAGACATCAAATGAAAAAGAAGTGCGATTCTGTTTGTATAAATAATAAATTTAGCGAATGTGATTAAGTCGCTTACTGGTAGTGACATCTAGTGTATCCGGGCTTTGTTATTTATTGCCAACATCCCAAAGGAAATTATAATCCTACCTTTCACCTATGCTTGACACCGGCGGAAGTCGACGCGTCTTAACGTTCAAAAAACAAAGAAACAAAACAAAATTACAATTTGCGCCCGTAATTTATGTCAGTTTATTTTAAATTCCATCCCATATTTATCGTTCTCGTCTGTATATTCGCTCGAAAAACTTCTTTAGAATAGCGTAACGGCATTAGTGCAAATTCTTCGATTCGATCACGACTCGTCGTTCGTTCGAGTAGAAGGTAAATTAAAAGAGTGAAAATGAGGCGAGGCCTCCTAGAACATTATATTACGGAGATTCTTCCATAACTTTCAATTTACCCGACGTTTTATATTGCTATTTATAATATATAGAACGAAACGACAGTTTGCGAGCGTCCCCCTTTGTTTTACGTAGTGTATTAGGTAATAATGACAACGCCTCGTCTCGCCGCTTTTTATATTAACAAGGGGCGTTACCGGCGAAATTTTTTAACGACCCCGCGACTTTATACTATCTTAAGCCGCTATAAATTCTTATTTGAACTCTGCATCTCCAATACCCCAGTGCCACTAATAACACACCGCGCACGCTTAAACGGCCATTAGAACCGGTCCAGACACCAAAATCGTCTTCCAAACTGGTATTTTGCATATCCGACTGACATCCCCAAGTATAGATTCTACCTACAATCATGCCGAAACGCCAGCCGAGCGGACTCGGGAGGATTTACTAACGATCGCGGCGTAGCGAGCCCCAGACTCGGGGAGGTCGTGTTGTCGTCGGTCGTATGGCTTTGGAGGTGTGACAGATGCAGGAGAGCGCCTCAGGGGGT